TAGTCAAGGATGCTGATAGATAGTCCAACAAAGCAGTGTCTCTGGCGCTGTCGTTGAAGAACGGATGGTATATCGTGGCCGTGATAACGCAGGGTGACGTAAAACAGTAAAATATCCAATTCCTCAGCTAACGGCAGTTCCTATGATAGCCATCGTCGCATTTGCATCGTACGTTGCCATCGTTGAAAACTGTCCTCCCCACAAGTACTCTGTGAAGAAAAAAATCTTGGATTAACTATTTTTATTCCCTTAATGTGAATAATAATAGTTCGAATTAGGGGCTTTTAAAGGACAAGTACGGATTTTTTTTAGTGCTTCTCAAACTTTCTTCAACTGATTTAAAAAAGAGATGAAAGGAATCGACAATTTTTTCGTCGATGAGACGTTCCAAAAGGTTGAAGCCGGGTAAAAAAACGCAAAAACGTTCTCGAGCAACATTGATGTCAACATCAAAATCAATCTCATAATCCCAAAGGCCTTTTGAAGAGCGTTTTTCCGGCGCTTTTGTCTGGGATCTTGATTTTCATAGTTCGTTTGCATCGCGTCTTGCTCCGCATAACAGTAGCAAATTTCTGTTACATTTCGCAATTATAAATTGTAATTATAAAGGACCAAACTGAGCCCTGAAATTGAATAAAGGCGTCCTGACTAAGTATACATCCAGCTATACCTTTCGTTCTAGCTAACAAATATTAAATATTAATAACTCAGACAGCTCTAAAACTTGCACTGTTTGGCTTTTCTTACAGAAGGAATGATTTTTAAAATTTAATCTTTTGGCCGATGAGTTCAAGGAAAGTGAGTGGTACAACCTGGAAAATTAGTGAGGTATATATCAAATCAGAGAAGACTTTTTATGCATGAGAAAGAAATAATTTTTTTTTCTTTTCTCACTTGTGTTTTCCACCATTTTACCCAGTTTCACAATACCTGTATTCCCCTGTGGGAAAATTCGTCATCTTGAGTAAAATTTTCCTTGCAGCAAATCGATCAGAGTCGCTTAGCTGACATTTGAATATCTTCCCATCTTCCGCTGGTCCAAAGTTGTAAGACAGACAACGGCTTTCGTCCGCACATTGCCACTGGTACGCATCATCTGAATCCACTTTTGTCACCTCGATAACGCCCCCCAATAAGCTTGCGTCTTCTGATCTCTGCCGCAAAGTTTACGGCATGCAAATCATTTGCATTCATCCGACCAAGTCCTAATACCAGCGCTGTTGGCAAAGAGACTGAGAACCAGAACAAGAACATAATTTGTGTTCCTTTAGTTCCTTCTTCAGAATCCACAAAATATCTGTATACCATATTGTGCGAGCCTTTCCAGAGAATAAAACATAAAGTAGTGCTATGTTAGTGAATGTCCTAAAGTAGCCTATTTCATGAATATTTAAAGCCCAGGACTACAAGAGGTGCATCAAAAACGAATTAGAGTAAATCATTCAAAGTGTAATTTTAATTTCAGCAACCTCCTGATTAGAAATACGTATTCCGTACAGATATCAGTAAATTCGCTGCAATTCCTAGTTACATGTATATGAACTTAATCGGCCTCAAAATCAAGTAGATCACTGATGACCGAATAACTCTTTTTATTTCTAGATTACAAGTTTTCAACATCACGCAGCGTTTGCACTTAATATTTTTTAAGGAAATCAAATTCATCAAATATATTTCGCTCATTTTATACTTTCTCGAATCTTGATCTGAATACCTATTTATAGTTCAGCATTATACATTTCTCAGGTTAACCTGTCTCGATTTGTTGTATCTTGAAACAATCAAGTTTATCCCAATGTGATGCTTAGCCCTTCTATCACCTGTACCTCGTTAGTTCACAACATTCTGACTACTGTGATGACGAATATTGTTGTCAATAGGGGTAAAGACCATGCTAATCCACCGTCGATTGGTTCAATACCTCACAAGTGAATTTTGTGCGCGCTGATTGGCTTGCCCGGAAGTCTGGCAAGTACTTTCTATCTCCGAGCATCCGCTGAGGCAATATCACACTTCATGAGTTTAATTTCCGATCAATTTTTCGTTATTTTGATAAAAATAAACATATTTTTCGGTATCTTTGTGATATATGATAAAACAATTATTCACCTGCACTTCGGTGAGTAATTGTTAATTATTTATATTTTCATTTATTTTTGGACCCCGCCGAATTCAAACCTCTGAGTCAAACATTTAAGGGTATAGTCGACACCGTTCTTTTTCGTGCCTCTTTTTTGCAAAAACTTTCTATTTCCCCCACGTTAGTAATTAACTATAATTTTTAATGATGTTTCCCTTACAGCAGTTAGGCTATCGTTCCTTGGGCAATTCTCCATCAAAGCAGTGAATTTTTCTATTACACTCTGTTTAATAATGAATCCAGAACCCCTAGAAATTATCACAAACAACAAAATCAACCACTTCATAGACCTGGTAACTCCACACACTACATATCAGACAGTTCTTCAATTTACACTTTTCAGTATGTTTTTTAATACGCTTTAGTAGTTGTTTCAGACTGGTATCAGTGCCGCAATATCACATATTTAATAGACTATTGCTTTCGTTTAGGACTTCATGTCTTCTTTGTGTGTATTGTTCTTTTCAAATTCAACAAAAAAATACCTTTTCTCTTGAATTCGATCAATATTTTGACTCAAGTCTCCGTTCTGCCAGTGCTCGAGAACTAATACAAAATGCTTCATATTCACTGTTGAATATTATTAATAACTTAACTTTCATACGCCTACCCTTCAGTTCTATGACATCAACCACCAAGAGTATTTTAGGTTATTTAGAAGTAGGTAGTGAGTCCTATTAATAAACGAGGGTCGTTGTTTTTCGATCATTTTCTCTTTTCCATCGGATAACTCGGGCATTTGGATCCCTGATCGAGCAGGATTTCTAGAGCCAAGATGGACAGAAACTTGATCAACATAAATATGCGCCGATACCAAAGAGAATAAGGTCAGGGGCTTATAAAAACGAAAGAAATTGGAAAAGAATCTTGCATTTATTGTGACAGCTTCTTCTCTCCTCTGGATATTTTTCGGACGACGACGAAGTCTCCGTGTTCCTTACGACATCCACATAACAAGAGAGCCTAGTTTTCAGAGTAACAGGTCAATACCATGACCACTGAAAGAATTGTATTGGCCACCGGCCATGATGTGTTATGATGGCTGACACCAGGCAGCCCACTTACTAATCCTGAGGTGTTTTGTTCAGACATCCATAAGCGAATCGTTATTGCATGATGATTGTTTTCACGAATAAAATTTAATTCGTTGTTTTAATTTGAGAAGAGCACGCGCGCAAATCCATGTAACGTAACTCATAATGGCGGGAGAAGCAAGCAACTTTGGCATGTAGCTGAATGCTTTAGAGTTCTAAGGTTGAAAGGGAAAAAACATATCTAGAATTTATTTCAGACATCATTTATTTCATGATTCACACCTTTCCTTTTGTTATTCGACAACCTTTATTATAACATAGCTTGTAAATTCGTGCAATCAAATTCAATAGCGCGAGCGCGCTTCAATTTTCCATTGTGCACGCCGGTGACGTCGGGAAACAAATGCCTCGCGATAAAACTTTTTTTTCCTGCGAGTGACTTCAGCATTTTTCATTAAAAAAGCGGGAAAATCTCCCGCAAAAAAGTTAAACTAGACACGTCAACAAGTGAACAAGCCGATGAAGATCTGCCTACATTTTCTTTGGATATCGATTTTTTAACTCCCGAGAAAGAACCCAGAGAAAGGGAAAACAAAACAATCGACGCCGATTTCATCTCGTTCCGCAACTCTAACTTCATTTCCACGCATGAATGCACCTGTCAGTTTTTATTGAAGCATAGCGAAATACTTTTGCGTGATAAATAAAAAGGCATTGAAGCGTAAGAGACGGAATTTCTGTCCTTTATACATAAACTACAGCGTTGAAAATGTTATAAAACAACTGGTTCATACTTTAGCTGTGCGTTCATCGAGACTAGTGAATGGTTGAATAGTGAAGAGTGAATGGTTTATTCGATATCTTATCGGACGTCAGCATTATCAGCCGCTTTAGTCCATGTAACGACCTCACATTTTCCCCCACAATTCCCACCCCAGGGGAGGACATCCATCACACAGTAATCTCGTGCGTGGGAAATTAACGTCTCCTACCCCTAACCCTGCAGAAGACGGGACCTCCATTTATTCGTCCTTATCCGTGAAGACTAGAATACCTATCCATTTCATGTTATAGAAGGGTAGCAAATTCTCCTCAGTTATTTCAAGACCATGAGTATTAGTCCGGCCGGGGCTCGAACCCTCGACCTCCCGCACAACACAATCCGGTGCTCTAACCAATTGAGCTAACATGCTTGATCTGAGTTTTCAAGGCCTATCAATGTCGAACTTAATCATAAACTGCTACATTAAGGTCTTGTTGTGTTTTAAACAAATATTCTCTGCGTATGACCTTAATAACAACAGTCATGGTGTTCTAGATAAGATGTGTGAGAGAAATTAATGTTGTTAAGAAAAAAATTTTAACCATGAGTAAACTTCGTTTTTGCTTTGTTATCTAATGAAGGCTATGATTGCTCTCTTAGATAAATCATAGATGCAGGTCCATGATGGATGGCGAAAAATCATAACTTACTGAAACGGGCACTGACTAGTGAAATTATTCTGATGACCTTATCAATCAACTGATTCGTGCGATAGTTGAGGAATGTCATCTCTAGCTCCGACTTTAAAGCATTAGCAGAGGTTTTTCGATCCACAATTGATGGTATCTCGTATTTCTTATTACTTCGGTTGTTTGGTTTTCCATCTTCGAAATTCGCCGAGCTATAAGTGGCGTTTGAAAGCTTTCAAAGAAAACCAAAACAGCCAATTTCAAAATGATTCTTTTCCACATGAAGTATTCTTTTATAAGAATGCCGGAAAACTAGGTATGCAACCAACGTCCAAAGAGTGTCCTTAATTGTTCGTAATATAACTATGACAGTCATGCTACTTAGGACAAGAGCACGAAATAAGGTGAGTGATAAAAATAACGTGAGTACAAATCAATTAACTCCATTGCTGTCTACTGCGTGGATGTGTCTAGATTGTTTTGGCTATTGTATCAGTTGTTTATCAAGAAGGCTCCACTTATCTTTTTATCACGAAACCCGCGTATCTCCACTAAAACGGGACCGAAGCTCTGCGTGCCGTCGCGCTAGTTTGCTGACGAGATTGACGGGAGATAAAAATAATAACTGCTAATGTGGGATAAATTGGCCACAATAGTGACGCTTTTATTTAACCCCACATCATCGAGAACATTGATATAATAAACATCACGCAATCTCTTAAACAAAGGTGGGGTTAAATATCGTCAAAGAGCCAAATACGTATAAAAAAGCAACAAAAGCATGAAGAGAGAGCCGGAGCATGGGGAGGGGGCGGAAAAATTCTTCTACAGCACCGAAAATCTGTGTTCGGATGTTAACACGATGGAAATGAAGGGGAGAAGGACTAGGAGAGAAAGGCAGGGGTCGCACTTACGCTTTTGGTGTTTACATTGGACATAAAGTCTGTCATCGCGTGCTTGCGACAAGTGCGACCCTTTTGTCGCAACCAGACATAACTATGTCCGAAGGACCTAAAGATCAAAAAAGCCGATGTCCTGCCTCGAGGCAGGCCATATCTCGTCTTATCGCCTTAAAATAACAATTTTTGTTTTTCCTCTGTCGCAACGTCGATCAAATCTGAACTA